TCGTAAAATGTTACACAAAATTGTAAAGTAAAATAATTTGGCTATATCTCATTTGGTTAACTTCTGTTGAAAACTGAAAATGTTATAATTTTTTTTTTTTAATTTTCCGATCATTCCCATGGCAGTCGTTCGATCCGGCCGGTTCCGACATATACCCGAGTGAGAGTATATAGAAGACTAACTACAAAGTTTCATTCAGATAGCTTCAAAACTGAGAAACTAGTTTACGTAGAAACGGACTGACGGACAGACCGACATGGCTAGATCGACTCGGCTGTTGATCCTGATCAAGAATATATATACTTTATATAGTCGGAGCTGCCTCCTTCACTGCGTTGCAAACTTCTGATTGAAATTATAATGCCCTGCAAGAGTATAAAAAAAAATAAAAGTCAAATATCTCCTAACAGTACTAGACAGCAAGCTGGCATGGAAACCGAATATACTAGAGGGTGAAAACGGCCACCATTGCGCTATAAGCATACAAGAAGGTGCTAAGAAGCACATGGGGTCTTTCGCCAGCTCTGATGCACAGGGTCTACATATCGGTGGGGCATCCGACACTGCTGTTTGGAGTCTTAGAACTTTCCCGGATGTCAAAACAACAACATTAATGGGACCCGAAGGCTGGAAAACGGCTCAGAACCATGCTCGATACCTTAAAATATACATACACAGACGGCTGCAAGATGGAAGGATGAGTTGGAGCGGGCATATATTGTACAGACCCTGAGACGAGGCTGTCGTATAAGCTACCAAGCAAATGCAGCATATTCCAGGCGGAAGTCTTTGCTATCAGGAAGGAGGCTGAGCATGCGCAGAGAATAGACCGCCCATGTGAGGCCGTAAATATGTTCATAGACAGTCAAGCGGCGGCTAGATCCGTGCTACTGACAGCAGTCAGTTTCAAAAATGCACTGGCGAGAAGGGACGGTCTAGATAGCACGACAACGTCAGTGCGGATCTATTGGGTTTCCAGCCACCAGAGCATCGATGGCAATGAGACCGCAGACGAACTTGCAAAGGATAGAGTCGGACTGCGAAGCGATAGAGTAGAAAACGTCACCGTCTCCCTAAGAAAGCTTTAAAACGAATTAGGAGGCAAAAAACAGATGGAAGAGAAACTCCGGAACCTCCAAAATATCAAAAATCATGTGCAAAGAGTGTAATGATATCCCGGACAGATTGAAGACTGTTGATGGGAATTCTTACAGGTCACTGCCTGGCTGCAGCGCATGCAGTCAAGCTGTGCATCACCAACAACGGCAACTGCAAGAAATGTGATGAATCTGAGGCAGCGGAACCTTAAAGCATCTCACCTGTAAGTGCCCGGTAAGTGCGTCGTTGCTGGTAAGATTAAGATATGTAGGTGCCCCAGTACTGATATCACTACCAGACGCCTCCAAGAGGACGCCAGGTGAGTGCACCTGGCAAGTAGTTACTTGCCTGCGCAAAAACCACCGGCATCCTCAAGGGCTTCTAAACCGCGTAATATTCTTCGGGATGGTTGGCCACCAGGACGGCCGTCCGCTTTAACCTAACCTACGTATCATACCCCGTAATTTGTTTTCTATTTCACCATAACCGCCAAGTATTGCGACAGCCAGATATCGTAGTATGCTATCCGGTTCCAAAATCAGACCCCTTGCCATCACTCTTTCCCCATTAAAAAATTAAACAGTTTTTGAGTTCTCAGTAAGTCGATGCAGATAGTTAAATAAGGGAAGTCGAGGTGCGAAAGTCGAAGTTTCCATTTATCATTTATAATTATTATAATTTATAATTTATTATTATTAATTTGTGAACTTTACCCAATTCAATAAACATTATTTGTAATAAATAATAATTTGTAATGCTATAACATTTATACTTAATGGAAAAATTTATAGAAATAGGTTTGGATACGAATGCGCAAAAAAGCGCTTTGCCGGATAGGTTGTTTGACACTATGGCATAGATGTGGGCGGTGAGGCGGATGAATGATGAGGCAGAGAATGTTTCTGGTTCAAGTAAATATCAAATGGCTAGTTTTTATGTTGGTTTAAGATTCACCCTACGCGATGTCCAAAACAGAATTAGGGGTTGGGTCGAGTTAAGGCAAGCGTTAACGGAAAAGTTCGATAAAAAACTATGCTCAGGTAATGAAATGTTAATTTCTTTTGTTATGTAGGGCATACCAGATAGCAAGTTAAATAAGGCTGGGAGCCAAAACTGTCAGGGAGTTAAAGAAGCAAATTCATTTTACGAAAATATAAAAGAAAGCGGAAATAGCAAGGAAATTGTTAAGAAACAGGTGTTAGGAAAAGAGTAACCACCAGAGAAAATGCTTTAAGTGCACTAATGAAGGACACATTGCTAAGGACTGCTGGGGGAGATAGTTTGCTATTATTGCAACCTGAAGGGATACATCTCTAAAAAGTGCACGCATAAGAAAAAACAATATCGTCGATAATTAATTAATGCTGGAAAGGAGTCAATTTATAGAAAGATAGAAGTTAAGTGTTTGACATCTGATCCAGTTCGGTACGGCATTTAAAGGAATGCAAGTCACGGAAATTATCAATAAAGTCTCCGTTCTTGACTTAATCGATTTATCTCACCTGGGAACAAGTCAGAAGCTGAAAGTAGAAAATCTCTTTGAAGATTACAAGACAGCAATGTGATTAGCGTCTCAAGCTTTTATAATATTCATAGTATTATCGTATTAGAAGATGATGTTCCAGTTCATCAATGATGATGAACTTATCAACCGAAAAACAAACTCTTGTTAGGAGAAATTTTTCATCTTTTCAAGTGAACGGACGTGTTTTTTTCTTGCGCTCTCGTTTTGTGTCAAAGTTTGCACACCACCGGGGTTGACTCAAATCTTTTTTTTCTGTCAGCAACTTCCCAACTTGTGTATATAATTGGTTCTATTTCCCAATTTAGTTGTGCTGCTTAAACTAGCTTCTGCATATTTTGCATTTCCTTTTTGTGCCTTCTTCGTTTTGCTTTTGTTTGCATCGTCGCAACAGCTAAACGTTATAGTTATCCACCTCCCACGCTCTTTCGCTGTCACTGTGCCGCTGCACTTCTTATTTTTGTAACTCAATTTTCCTCTCACGTACAAAAACAGTGGTAAGTCATTATAACGACATCTAATATATTTTGTGTCGATAAAAAACCTGCAAAAAGGCTATTTCTGCAGGGAACATTCGGCTGCTGGCTGTGCGACAACATCATGCACGCCAAGTCCATGAATGTTGCAGCTCGGACGGTGGACGATGTTGGCAAAAACATCGGCTTGTGCTACTTCTGAGAGGCCTGTCGCGATGGAAGGGGAAATGTTGTCTTTCATGCGGCAAGCCAATGGCGGCCGACGTAATTTAAGTTGTCTACGTGGCGAGACTTATAAACATTAAGACGAAGGTTCATACCCCAGTGGACCCACAAAAGATTGTGAGTATCGTTAAAATGATTTAGATGGAGATGTTTCCGGGGAACCACCCACTTGCGTTTTATGCCTTCCGCGAGGCACCTCCTAACATGGATAATGATTCATTTTCTCCCGCTTAAGGAAGAATTGAACCGAAGTCATTGCTGGACACTGTATTACTGCGGACGGAGCAAGCGGCAGTGCATTGACCTTGGTCCGTAATTATAAGAACTAAACTAAACGAAGGAAAGGAACTTCTATAATGCTTAGATATAGAACAATTATATGGTGATGAGAGAAGGAAAATCTTAAATGAGAAGAGAAAGGTTGAAGCTGAACACGAATGCAGCCGAATATATTAAGTAATAGAATTTATTCATTGGAAAATGAAAATTCAGGAAGTTAGATTACATAAAAATGTGGAAATTCAATTGAATTTCACCATGACCGCCAAGTATTACGTCAGCCAGAACTGATGGTATTGTTATCGCGTTCCCAAAACGCGTCTCTTTCCATCACAATTTGTCCTATTTAAAAATCAAACGCTTTTTTGAATTGTCAGTCATCGGTTTGTGCTACTGCTGCGAGGCCTGTCGCGATGTGGAAAGGGAAATGTTGTCTTTCATGCGGCAAGCCAATGGCGGTTTTAAGGACATTTTATCGAGTTTTCGTAAAACTCACTATATGTTCTTGACGCTAAACACCCAATTTAATAGCCTTACACTATGAGTCTCCGAGGCGCTAAAAAACGCAATTAGTGGGCAGCATGTAGGCGGATCCCAACTAGCCGCAACGGGCTCTCAGCAGCAGCCTCCCTCGGCACAGCCCTCGACCTCAGCATTAATTCCAAGAGTGCTGAGAAAGAGCGCTAGGAAAGATTCGGTACCCGAATGTGCAGCGGGAGTGTCCGTAACGCCGGTTAATTCTGTTTTGTCTCCTGGGGGGTCGCAAAGTCCCGTGCATACTAATATATCTGCCCAGGGTGTTAGGCCCGGGTTACCGGCCGACAATGGCACCGCAAATAAGCAATCTGCCTTGACAAATGTCCTTATAGCGGCTCCACCGACGAGACATATTTTTTTCGCGGCTCTCCCATGATCAAACATCAAAAGATGTTCTCGCCTTTATACTAGGCAACACCAGAGCCGATAAAATTAAGATTAAGGTGGAAAAATTTTAAATTTTCTTACGCTAGGGATATTTCATTTCTTTAAATAAATGTCCCTAACGAACTCTATAACACAATTTGCTCTACCAACTTCTGGCCAGAGTACATCGTTGTTAAGGAGTTCGAAGCGAAGGAAGGAATAACTCTTCCCAGGCCTGCTCATACCACTACCTTCGAGGAATGCAACGATGTTGAATTCCTCTGTGTGAAGCTATATATCAAAGGTAGCTCCATTTGTATTACCTGTTCATACATAACTCCATTATCGGAACTTCCTATTTATTGGAATCACCTTTTCGCTATTCAGATGGTTTCCAACAAATGCAAAACCGTGGAAATCGGTTCTTGTGATCTGGAGTTATAGGGTCAAGAATGAAACCCCGTCTTATTTTTATATAGTAGATATATAAAGCTTACCTTTCCGATATGGTCAGCGAAAACATTTTGTAGAGATCTTGATCGGATTCGTTTAGTTTAATGCCTTTTGTGTCTTCTTCATCAAACGATCCGATATCAAAGGCATCAGCGGCATTTACTTCTCCTCTTGGAGGTACTAAGGGTGGAGTATATTTTTGAATATAAACTTGATGCCAGTCGATTCCACAAAAAAAATTATGCATCTTTACTTCATCCGCTCTTTAAGAATGTATAAAAAATATTAGTAAATTTACATTGAAGTATTTTAGTACCTTACCCGTTTCCCATACAGCCAAGACGTTTAGGTACGTCTCTTTGAAGCAACAATTCCAACAAATTTCTTAATTCCAGGGAAAACGATTCTGGGAGTTCAACATTCTTAAAATAAATTAATAAATATTTATTTACTTAGACACTTGTATATATATTTATACACTCTAGAAGCTTGTATTAAATTTACTGTCCGTCTGTCAGTACATACACATACTAGTCTTGTAGTTTTAGAGCTAGCGAGATCCTAGGTCGACGTGCTTTTTCACCAACCACGGCTTTTATCGTTACGTTTTAAGGAGGTGCCAGCAAGTTGTCCGCGACGGTCCTATAGGGCTATCTTTCGGAATTTACAAACCCAATGCTACTGAAATTAAGCGTTGCGTGGCGGTATTAATTAGCTATGCAGTTTGCAAGAAAGAAATTAATGCAATTAACGATGTCCATTAAGATTTCCCTGGTTCGACTGATATGTCGCTCTAAAAGTAGTATCTCAGGAACACAAATGATCTAGAACTTTTACAAATCTTCTTTCCATTGTCGGAGGTGGACAGTTACTTAATTCAGTTGTATAGAAAATATCGGAAAGCTATATGAAAATAAAGAAGTTTGGTTATGTTATAACATTTTTCATATACTCCGATAGAAGCATTTTAGCTCATAACGATAGACCTAAGCACCTTTATTTATGATCCCTCACCTGAGTTTTTCCCTGTGATGAAAAATGGCTGCTTGTATGCGATCTTGTGTCATTAAACCGAAGAACACTCATCCGACCTATCAGTGCTCCGATAAAAGTATTGAAAATAATTATTTTTCGTTCCTTCTAGGAGCGGTTGTATAGAAAAAACAATGCGAGGAGGATGTGACATGCAGTGCTCCTTCCGATCAGAAAGGAAGATTTAAACAGTTTTAGGGACAATATCAAATACGAGCAACGAAGATGTAGCGAACTACTCAAATGGACGCAATTTTTGGATTTACTCAAATGTATGGTCCATGATACCAACATGCCTACAGTACGGAAAAGGTAGTATATCTAAAACACCGCAACTGAAGACGCAAAAAGGTTTATAAAACATATCGGTCTTAAAGAAGAAAACAACATGAGCTCAGAGCAACAGTACCTATCCAAAGTCATTGAATGTGTTGTATTTTACAATTATCGAGCCTCTGGCATCATTAAGGGGATAGGGCATCGATGTACCCAGCTGGGATACAATATTTATTGTTATCATCAAAAAAAAATTTGATTTTGAAAACAGAGCCTTATAAGAACATATGTTAGTTATAGATATCTACAAGGTCTCAACACAATTTCTCAACTTCATGGACCAACGAATTCGATACTGTGAATAGGGAAATGAAACCATCACTCGAAAAAGAAGGAAAAATAATACTTTAAACATTTTTGCAACGAAATAATAACCAATCGAGGTAATTGGGTATAAGGATGTATGCCAACTGCTTTAGCAGTGACTCTAAAGTTAAGAAAGTTATCAGAAACTGAGCAACAATCACATTCAGTAGGTGCATCAAGTAAAAAGAATTACAGCTTACTGGAAACAAGGTATCAGTAAAAGCAAGTAATATTCCGGTGGCCACTTTCAGAGCTCTTCTTGATTTTGGATCACAAAAAAAAATCTGATTTCTGAACGAATGGCTTCAAGCTAATATGAGCAGAGAATTACCATTCCAGATGCTATTACAGCCAGAACGCAACCTTGTAATCACAGACATAGAAGTCGATACGCTGTTGAAACGATTTTTGACTCTAGAAAACTTAGAAACCAGAGAGAACTCAATCATCGACAAAGGCTCACTGCGTCTCTAGCTACAGAATGTTTGGATTACTTAGCCAAAAAAGCCAAGGATCATTTACCGATCGGATCATCTATTCTCAAGCATTCAGAATAATAATAATAATATATAATATATAATATAATATAATAATAATTCTCAACAGCTTCATAATAATTGGAAATATTATCGCGCGGATTTGCAAAGCATATAATATGTAAATTTCTTGGAAAATTTTCAATGAAAAGTGCCAGGCACTCGGGAAATACACACTTTTGTCGATGCTTCACAGCGAGCATACGAAGCGGCAGTTTATGTACGAGCCAATTATAATAAATTTTCTCTCAGGCTACTTTGCACAAAACCAATAGTACCACCAAAGACTATACAATTTACAAGATGTCTCACAACCATACATTCGTTTTGCAATATGAGGCTAATTTGTAGAATGCGTTTGCATGTATGAGTAAACACAGAACAAACAAGTGCGTATGTGTGCCTGAATATGTGTGTGTTTCTGTTCGCAAGTGCAACGCCGAAAAATTTTAATTTTATATTTTGGGCTGCTGAACGCATGTTAGGTAGAGAGGGTGACGGGAACGGCAGCAGAAATAGCTAATCTAAAACATGTATTGCACTGTTTTTGTATACATGTTTGCTTGTTTTGATTTTAGCTTGTTTACGTTTTTTAGAGCTTGAATCCCTTTATTTTGTTATGTTTTTTCCTTTATTTTTATAAGTAATCACTTAAGTGTTTAATTTCAATTTCATGTGTCAAGACTATTTTAATTTTACAAAATTTAAAACGTAGAGATCTTGGTTAGCACTATAATTGGTGCTAATATCCATTTTGAACCCTTGTTTGTTTTCAAGATATTCACTAAAATGTACTGCATTCGCACGAGACAAAAACAGAAGTTACATTAGTAAAAAACCAGTTTAAGCTCTGATTTCAGCGAAGCCTCGGTTCACCGATCTTCGCCTATCGTCTATGACTTTAGGGTCCCACAGCAACAACTTCTCTCGTGACTAGTGATAACCACTCGAGACTAGTAATAACCACTTATTTGGAGAGCACTTGCGGGTCCGGCCCTAACTTCGCCGGCCGCTGACTTCCGGGGTCGACTTCTGCAAGCCATTGGACTCCCGATCCCTTCTTTCTCCACAGATTCTGACTGACTACCCAAACGACGACAGACCGTCACACTACCTATGACTATGAAAATGATGGACTTATCCGAGTCAGAGGTAGATTGAAGAATCTAAGCTTTCTTTTAACGCAGAACATCAGATTCTTCTTCCTTCCAATGATCCAATTGTAAAAATTCTTTGACGAGAGAGAAATAAAGAAAACAAACAGCTATATGAGATTCTTAATGACAAAACCATGGTAAGAAGCCTTATAAACTACTGCACAAAATTTCAACTCTGATGGTGACTACTGCGACCCAAAGACACCTTTCCGTTGATGAGCTGGCTTATTGAAAGGCTAGTAAGAAATTTTCATGTCCGAGTAGTTGAAGTTAAACTGCATCTGATATTTTTAAATGGCCAGTCACTCGTCTGATGCCACCAATCCTAATGATTCTTCCACTAGCTATTGGACAAGTGTGACATATTTCAGCAATACTTGGTTCAAAATATGCTGAAGACAATCCAATGAGAACGTATTAATGATGGTATTGAAGAATCAAACATAAATTCTGGATTCCAATATAAATATTGTCGAAAAGAGCACTTCACCCACCAACGAACTCATCAAAACTCAAGAAGAACTAGAAACTATCAACAGAGTAATAGGCAAATATAAAGGCGACTACTAACAACAACCATTTAGGGTCCCAACAGCTCTACTCGCAACTGGGGTTCGGAGTAAGCAAAAGGAGATAAGCAGCGTGCTTATTGAACTTTCCCACTGAACTATTAGTCCCATACTATCGTCTCCTAAGCAGCAAATGGATCACCTTGATCATATTCGGTACTGCAACTCTACAAAATCATGCATGCCGATGAGTTTGACCAATGTATAGAGTTGCCAATTGATGAACGCACTTCAATTACCGTTTTCAGATATTTAACGAAAAGACTGAAACAGTATGTGAGATTGTTTAATCAAAATCCGATCTGATGTAGACAACAAAACATCAACGAAACATATGGATATTTGTGACTGACATAGAGCTGTATGCAAGGAAATTCCCTACGACATTTTATAAAGTAACTCAACAGTCGCAGTAATATTATGTGATGTGACAATATTAACTAACAGGGCAAGCGCGTAAGCATATTCTGCTGACACGATAAATCTAGAAATAACACATTGTAACCCCACTATTTCTGTTAAACTAAGCATATTCTTCAAACCATGTTTAGCTAAATATACCTGTAAGTTGTATAATTGGATTCCATATTATTATTTACCTCCAACAAGCGCTACTTAGCTGCCATGATCCGAGACTGTCGCAGTGCCTTCAGACTCTCAACTGCAAAATCCTGAGTCAACCTAGTTCAACTGAAAGTTGCGGTGACCACTGAAAAAATCACTATTTACCAGGCATCTTAGTCTCTTTACAAACTGATGATACTCAGACAACAATTCGTTTTATAGAAAAATTTAGCTGATTAATGGCAGATGTTGCGCTATCGTTAGTCCAAAAGTATTCAATATCAGCAATGTGCAGAAAAGAATAATATCATATCTATTATATTATTATATATATATAAAAATTAAACCCGTTTTTCGTTGTCGCCACATAACATGAAACCGGCTTGACCGCTTTGGCTGATTTTATTTTATTTTGATTTTTTTTTTCTTATACTCTGCACAAGGTTCTTACGCAAACAAATATTAAGAAAATGTCTCAGAAAGATTGGAAAATATACATTTAGTTTTGGATATTTTAAAAAACGCGCATAACGAATGTCAACATCATCTGTAATCGGTAATCTATCGATACCGATATAAAAAAAAAATCTGTGACAACACATCTACCGCGGCTTGACCGATTTGGGTAAAAATTGGTAGGGAGGTAGCTTAGAGCCAGGAGACGGACATAAGATACTTTTTATCCCGTTCGACATAAAATCGGGATATCCATCGCTGATAAATAGCATTAAGTACAAACCAAAATATCAAGTAGTCGGTTAATAACATAACATAATAACATAACATAACATAACATAACATAACATAACATAAAAATAAATAAAGTGCAGGCATTTGTCTTTAAGGTGGTAAGTTGAAATGTGTTCATTATGTGGATTATGTGGAGAAACACAAAATATAATAATATAAAGTGCCCTATTGA